AAGTACTTATAATGTAATAAAAAGATAAAAACAACAAAGTAAGAAATAATTAACTATAATAATAGATAAATAAATTTTTCTTATTCGTTATATTTGTTATTGCAATATATTTAAGCATTATAATTACGTATTAGTCAGAAGAAATATTATTCTGAGAAGAATTATCATTGATTCTTCTTTTCCATAAGCTCAATTAATTTATCATCTATTTTATCAATTTTATTTAATGCCTCACTTATTTGCTTTTTCAACTCTTTCAACTCGTCTTTAGAATCTTTAATATTACAAATTTCCAAAATTGCAGGAAGCAAATTTTCTTTATCTTCAACCTCTTTCACATATTTTTTAAGCTCATTAACCGAGACTTCATAATATCTAAAAATTCAAATTATATTAGTATATATAGTGTACTGTACATTTACACATTGTATATAAACAAAAATTAATTACAAAATTTCGGGAAACCAACTGTTCTTTCTTCTTTGATAGGGTAACATCCAGAAAAGTTCAATTTCGGATAATATCTAATAATAAAAGTATGATAATTATATATATTATCTTACTTTTAAATTATAATTAAATAAAATTTTCTTACCTCTCTTCTTAGTTGCAAAAAAGATTCTTCATTATTCGTATCGTCAATAGCATTTCCAAGTAATGAAATAAATAAATTCAATAAATAAATTGTTGTGAAAAATGAAAATATAACTAAGAAAAATGCTAAAGCCCAATTATTTTTTAAACCCCATGATGAAACTGAACTTGAATCCCCTAAAATTAAAAAAAAATTAATTTTTATGCTAAATTTTTGTTTAATCATTATGTATATACAATACCTGTTAGCATAAAATATACAGCTAAAATAGAAGTACTAAATAATGAAAATAAATTTGTATTATCATCTGGAGTTTGAATAAGCGTTGATTCTTCAACAGTGCCATTAGATGAGACATTATTAACGTCATCAGTATAGCTTGGCTGATTATAAGAATATTTACTAGTAGGTCTTAATAAAAGATGTAACGAATGTGCAAAGGCCAAAGCC